AAAAAAAAAAAAAAAAAAAAAAAAAAAAAACCATATGCTATAACTTCTTGCTATTCTCATTGATCTGGGGTTTGTAAATTCATTCTAAAGAGAGAGTGAAAGGGTCGACTTAGCATTACGCTCTGGAGGAGGAGCCTGCCCAAATGCCGAGAAGGCTTCAAAGGGAAAGACTCCATTCTGATCATTGCAGGTGCAGTAATCTTGATCCTCTGATATCCCATCCTCAAACGGTTGTCTGGGACCCACCTCAACTAAGCTTGGCATTTCTGACATAAATGTCTGAAATAAAATAAAAATATTTTACCAAAAGAAATTGGTATTATTACTCAACCAATAGAACATAAACCAAAAGAAATCTCAAAATAAAATAAAATAAAAAAGTAATGATCCTGATGAAAGTGAAACAGAGTATATACAATCACCTTCTTGTAAGTGGTTCCATCCTCCTCCACATGCCAGCCGGCCTCCTCACAAAGCGCCTTCAACAGATCATTGCTGTCAGCATGCTTGGGCAGATTGTAGTTTCCATGCTCCCTTAGCCCTGCAAAGATCTTCTTAGCCACCGCCCGCCGCCTCTTCTCCCTCTGCCTATTCTTTTGTCTCTCGCTGTCGCTTGGAAACCGATACTTGGTCACTGTACCGCCATTTTTTGTGGTTTTATGAACCACCCAAGGGCCTCTGCTGCTCTTGATGCAGCCTTTTTGTTCAGTTTTCCTCTGTCCCTCCATAGCTGGGCTCTTTCACTGCTTTTCTTTCTTGAAGAAATGCTGCTAATAAAATGGCAGCAAAAGGCACAAAAAATATGGGTTTGTACTGTGTCAATCCTAATATTGTCAGCTTCAGACAAGACCTGTAATGTGGAACATTCTTGACAATGTTGCCACTGGACAATCATTTGGGTTCCGAGGGTAGTTTTGTCCATTTAAGGATCATGAAATATTCCATGCAGAAAAGCAGTGCTACTTTTTGGACAGAAATTCGAATTCTCACATATCTGCATCTGATAAAGGAGTGGTGTTTTGCAGCAAAAGTAGTAATTCATCGTTTGCTGCCACATAAAAAAAAAAAAAAGGAACCAAGGAAAGTGGCGAAAGATACAAGGCTTCTTGGCCTATATTTATTTCAGTAGACCCCCATGAACAGCCGTTGGAGAGTTTAAGAAGTATCTTTGATTTCCTTTATTAAAAATTTTTCCTTGACATTTTCTAGGTACTAACACATGTACAATGTGAGAATCAAGTAGTACTTAAAAGAAAGAGAGAGAAGAGAATCAGGTACAGATAAACAGGGACAAAAATGCAGAAAAAGGGCAGTAGAAAGTAGTGGACTCCATGGAAGATGATGGGAACTTTGGAAATCCCAAGTGTGAAGAGTAACATAGTTTATCGATATTCACAACCTTTAAGTGTTTGACATGGATGATCCAATGTTCATGCATAACCTTGGTGTATGTGTTTTATATGGATGATCCACTGTTAATGCATGCCCTTAATGTATATGTTTAACATGGATGATTCAATGTTAATGCATGATCTTAACGTTTGTGCTCACATGGATGATCCAATGTTAATGTATATGAGATTCTACTTTACTAATAGGTACTCTGTACAGACAAAGATAAATGAAGTGATAATGGTACAAACATTCTTAGATAATTGTAGCAAAGAGAATCGGCTAAAGCACACCAGCACCCAGCAATTTAGTTTGAACTTTTCAAGGTCCCATATCTACCACCTGCATCGGATCGAGCAGAAATCCAAATTGATGCAGTATTTTCAAAGCAAGCTGCTGTGCTGGCTCCATCTTGTTCTCATGACTTCTGCAAGCATGACTGATGTAGTCCCTTTCCTCTCCTCAGTGTTAATTACACCATTAAGACTTGCCTTTTAAGAAGAGACACATACTAGGATGTTGATAATAAGGGTGCACATGAAATAAAAGGTGCTTACTGCTCAATGCTAATCAGCTCCTTCATCAGCTAGGCTTTACAATTACCAAGAATAAATATAACCTTCTCCCTCAGCTTGTCAATAATCTGTGCAAAAATAAAACAAGCGCCAAACATAATTTACTAGCAGGCATCAAGACAAGCTTTGTTAAATTATGTCTAAATTTGATTGTGCGCACCATGGGAGAGATCTTTGCCCATGCTCCTACAGAGACAGCAGCATTTCTGAGGTGAGAACAAATTGGGGACTTAAAATCCAGAAAATATGTGGAATTCTCGGTTGCTTCAGCAACCCAGAGATGATTCATTTGATCCTTTGCTTTCTTGATAACATTACAAAAGCCTACCTGTAGAGATAGTGTGTGAGAGTTAGCAATTATGAGAAAAGATAACTTCTTTATGAACTTTTAGCAGTAAGAGCTGTTGATATCAGGAGTAACGAGTCATTTTATATGCTGTTATAGCAAATGGTTAAACTAAGAAGAGAAGCTATTTTTAGTAAAAAATGATTTTTGAGAGAATCTTGCCATAGAACAAATGTTAGAGAACTGTAGACCCTAACATATTTACAAAAACTGTTCTACAAGTACCAAAAGTTGATAATGTCGTGGCTGCTCGAGGGACTCAAACAGCATCTAAAATTTTTTACTAAATCATGTTGATTGCAATTCTGCAATCACCAGGCTTCTTAATTAGATATTTTTTGACTAAAAGCCACAAAACAGAGTAAAAGGGGAAAGATCTCATATGTAGCACTCACAGTGGATCCAACTAGGTTAGAGTTGATTGGTTCATAAGAATCATTCGTGCATGGTGAGGAGAAGCTAATGGCAAGTAAAGAATTTGATAAATCTTCTAATTGCGAATCAAACAGGGAATCATCAGTCACAAACACCCACTGCTTCTTTTGATGAGCAGCCATGTAAACCTCTCCCACATACACAACAAGTACAGCAATGTCAAATTCACTGAAATCAAGAGTGAGAAGTTAGCTGATCAGGATTTTTTTTTTTTTTTTTTTAAAGAAAAAAGCAAAGGCATTACCACAGGAAACCAATGGACAAAAATACCTGGAAAGAGGAATTTCACCTAAATTTGACAGCAAGATTGACTTGCGAGGGCTGAAAAATGGCCTGTTAAATGGCAAGCACAAGGTCCATGAGTAATGAAATCAACATTTGATGACAAAGAAAGCGAATGAAAACTTACTCGAAGTGCTCCATCTCTAAAGGAGACAAAGGCTTCCATTTTGTAGTAGATCCTCTTGCATGTAAATAAAGGATTTCGGAATCTGAGTGTAGTGGTACAAGACCTTCAACAGAATAAGCTTGTCCTTCAACTAGCTCATTTTTCTGTCTCAAATTAATGCATTTTTATTTGCAATCAATAAGAAACTAAACATTTGTTTCTAAAGATCTCAATTACGTCTATGTATGATAAACAAGAGACTGAAGAAACATACAGAGAAAATGCATTTAAAATCATGCAAGATTATGCATGGCAATGGACACTCATTTGTAAAAGCAGAATAGCAGCCCTGATTCACCTGTTTCTCTGTTGGACTCCAGATGGTAATTATGCCTTCTTTAGGTCTTCCCTTTCCTCCACAATTTCTAGAAGTTAATCCAACAACTCTCACCCTCATAAATGGGGTGACTTCTCTCTCACTTAATCCAGCATCTGTCAGGGCTTTTTCAATTGATTTTTCCATCTCAGATTGCCTTGATGCCTATAGTAACATCTGCATAGTTAAGTATCACTTTCCAAATTTACAATTGTCTATCAAGCAAGCATCTGAACCCACCTCCAGTTTTGCTTTATAGGCAGCAAAAGAATTTAGCTGCTCTGGGCTCATCTCTGCCATTATGACTTCTGGTTCGGCAGCTGACTCAAGAATTTTTAAGATTTTTGCTCCTTCTTCACCCTCACTATCATTACAGATATGAGGATTACTGGTCCCTCTCTGATACTCAGATATAATGCCCTCTGCAACTATCAGACGCCTGAAGCCCAAAGGATTAAGCATGAAAAACCAACATTTTGTGCAATCATTTAAACTAACTACAAAGATGTAATGCATCTCATAACCATTTTTCTATGCCTTAAATTAACAATCTCAAGTCCCATTATATGATAAAGGTGAATTATCTTAGGCAACAAAACCAAGGTTGCAGAAAGGGCTAGGCGATGGTGGGCGGTTGCCCACAGCCTAGAGCCTAGAGTGCATAGGCAGTTTTTTTTTTTTAAATATTGAATTATATAATAAAAAGCAAGTCTCTCTTATTTATTAATTTATTTATATATTATGTAACTCAAATTTAAAAATACTAAT